ATAGCAATAGAGCAGCATCTTCACAATCTTGTTGACGAGACTATTTCGAACTGTAGAATGCACCACATAATGTGCATGGGAAGATGGACAGACCATAGATTAATACAGTATAATACAGTATAATACAGTATTATACGTATTGTACGTATCAAAACTTAAAATACGTGTATTTGCCCATCACTACTCGGGACGGACATTGCACGTAAACTAAAGAGAAGCAACATTGTAGCGGCTCCTTTTTTAAAGGACTTGGATGCCGCCATGCCGCCGCCTTTCGATTGATAGTCACAGATGTATGCCCCGCAAAGGCAACAGGAATGAATTAACAAAAAGACAGAAATGACTCAGGCTTTCCCAATCACATTCTTGTGATGAAGCCTTTGGGCAAAATGCCACGTCATTGTGAATCACGAACCAATCAGTCTTGGAAAGATTGAAATTAAAGCCGACAGAGCTGTGTTTACGTTAAATAGACTTGTCGAACATATCTTTAACCTGGCAACCAAGTCCACAACACTTCTTCAAGTCCACATCCGGAGCCAACAAGAGTCTCCTGAGTACCTACGTACCTACTGGACGTGCTACCGTTACCGTACTGGGCTCCCTTGAGGACGTAGAATTGGAGGTGCGGGATTGTATTCCGGTATTGGAAGTGCGGTTCGTGCGAACCGCAGAGGCCCCGCCAGAGGTGCAGAGCCCGGGCAGTGCATTGGATGAGCGGACCAACCATGATGACCTTCAAACGGGTAGTGTGGTCCAACAGATTACCTCCCAATTGGCAGGCTACCTAGCAACCGTAGTTGATTACTGCAAGAACGAAGAGGGATCATAGTCTCAGTGGTGTCAGAAGGATGGCATACTGGTGTCGTAGGTCTGGTAGACAAACGGTCAGGCCCTGATGGCTGTACTGTACGTGCTGGCAGCTGAAGTCAAGATGAGAGCGATTCGATTCCGATTCGATTTGATTTGATTTTGATTGACGCAGCGGTAAAATGAATGTGTGGTACCATGTACCAGTACGGTAGAGTAGCTTTTTTCCAAGTGTGTCCTAGTAGGCAGGCTGCCATGAAAACGAGGGACGAGGACAACTGCCACTGCCCACCAAAACGAAGGCAGATGTATTCAGGAACAGCTTCCACAGGATCACCTGGAGCGCAGAGCGAATCTTCAATGACTCTGGCCAGCTCTTGGGCCTCCATTTTCTCGTCCGAGACATTGCGAGAGGCGACAAATTCATTGTGCGGGTTCTTCCATACTACATGTACGAGGCAGCCTTGCGGACCTCCAACAACTTTTTTTTAAAAAAGGATGCACGATGGCTGATTTGGAGGTGGTTTTGTGGCTCCTCACTCATGGATACGGCATTCGAGAAGGCCAACCTCGTGCACTCTATTCGGCCGGAATTCATCCGGCACATATTTGGTATTGGTATGTAGTGGTCATTATCGGAGAACATGCAGGAGTCCTAACACCAAAATTGCCGCTCTCTTGCTCCCTAAGGTACGTTCCTTGTCTGTTCCGCAAAAAACAGGTTTTTAGCTAGCTACCATGTACTGGTACCGGTAGTGTGCACTGGGATTTGCTTTTGTGCATTGATCAATCGGGCATCCCGAGGAAATCCGTACCATGCCCATGATCCACCAAATCCTCCTCAGTTCCAGCAGGAGGATTTTTGTCATCATTGATTGCATGAACAACTGAGACACTGAAGCTCCAGAAAGGAGGGTGGGTGCCCCAGGAACTGGATCTGCTATCCGCTGGAACCATGGCATGCTAGGGAGTCGGATGAATCAAGGCCAAGTTTGGACCAGGTCGATCCAAGGGAGCAATCTCCGTCTCATTGTACACAATGTGTTCTGCAAGCTGTGGTTGGTGAGATGGTAGAAGGCTGACAGTCAGGTGATTGGTCAAGCAAGGGTGTAGTGAGCTGGCTATCCAAAGGCAGGTGAGGAAACGGGAAGCAGAGAAGAACCTATCATACCGTACCTCCTTGATCTGGACCAGCTGCACAGCAAAAGGAGGACAACGAGACGACTTTTTGAGCTATGAACTCGTGAATGGCTGCATGGCACTGAAACTCATGAGTACGCTCATGTGAACATGTGAACTTACCATTGGTTAGACGCCGGAAACCAAATCGCCTGAGCTGCTCCAAGAAGTCATTCCATGACATTGCTTCCAAGAAGAGACTGGTTTGGATCAATCATGCAGGGCCGAACATGCAGTGACTTTAGTCTTCAGATGATAAACGTGATGATGCTTCCATGTGGAACAGATGCACACAACTTACACTGGTAGCACTCTTTCACAGAACTGCTCTTGGTTGTGGATCCTGAAGGCCCGGCCATGATCCTGAAAGGACACAATAGCTTCTGTCGGAACCAGAGCAACGCGCAGAATGAAGGCTGTTCATGAGTCCAACCTGCATGGTACTGGTACTGACAGTCACTCAAATGAAGATAGTCCCTCCATAGGAATCATCCCTTTTGGGGTTAGGGAAAACGGACTCACCTGTCTCTGGATCAATACCGGAAGATGCCCTGGATAGCACCATGTGCAGCAACCCTGGGAAACGTTGACGCTGTGCATCAATGCAGAGCGAAATCGTGGGAGGAAGACGTATTGCTGGTTCTTGAGCTCTACTAGGATTGCTCATCTTGGTGCCTAATAGTCTCGATCGCAAAGCAAATTTATTTGGGCTACTATTTATGATAGATAGCGATAGCCTGCTGGTCAGCTGAGTAGCTGGCGATCCACTGTCCACTAATGCTTACGCTGTGAAAAAACTGGAATGAGAAGCCTAAAATAAAAGAGCCCTAAATAATGTAGCGGTCATAAGACGCCATACTTGGCTACTTATAGAGGTAGACATTTTACGAGAACAGACCCCACAGATACTGACATAAAGACTTCATAGCGGCCGACAGTTCTCGGGTGCGACGGAAGGAAGAAGCCTTTGTATGACTAATAGCAAACTTTCTCATCTATCGTCTCTGGCCATTATTGACTACTAGTCAGACTACAAGTTGACTCGACTCATAGACTCTCTAGACTCTAGATCTCACACCTCACCCACCCACAACGTTCTCCCGACATAGCTTGCTTAGACTGCAACGGAAAGATAGAGCTAGGGTTATGAGGGAAGCAGTCACAAGAGCCAGTCAATCAACTGAACTGCATGAGCAGCCAACCAAGATGACAATGGTGTCTCTTCGCGAGATTCCTACACGCACCTCCGAACCTATGTGACTGTACTCAGTACCGTGGTACGCGACCAAGGATTCTTGGTACACGACCAAGGATTCTTGGTACACGACTGGTTCTGTTTTTTGTCTAAGGCCCAGTTTCAACAACTCTGGTTTGTAGGCAAAATCGGAAATTGGAGGCTCTTTGGAGGTGACCCGGCCAGAATGACTCCCAAAAGAGGCCTTTGCGCAACCACCAATTTTGGCTTTGGGCAAATGGCTGGAGAGTTGGTTTGCGCAAGGCCAAATTCGTTTTTGGGTTCCAACCACCACTTTGATTGGCTCCTCCATACCCAAACTTGACTCATCTGGGGAACATTCTCGAAGAGAAACCTCAAACCATCATCTAAAGCGGGCCATCGGATAATAAAATAGAAAAGATAAACAATGACAACAATGACAATGTTGAGGTTTTTAGATCTCATAGTAGCAGTCGTTTTGCTACGGCAACAACCAACCAAACTCACCAACAGCCAGAAGCATGGCTCGCATCAAGAAGGCCACTCCACCGTATCGGTTTGGCTTGAAGCCAATGCGATTGGTGGCCAGGTTTGACGTAGCCCTGGCAGATAGCCAGATTCCCTCTTCATGGCATAGTCTGCAGTTTTGGCAAGTTGAAGAAGAGAAAGAAGAAAGAAATAAGATGTCGAACGTTGAAGAAGATAACACCGAAAATGGCCGAAGCTACACTGACATCCCATACGCCGAACTAGGGGCTGTGCACCCTGATGCCGTGGTTGTTGGTCCTACTGAAAGGTACTACAAGTGCAGTGGTGAGAAAGCAGCTGATCTCATGGCAATGGGAATCGGCCTCAAGACGTTTGACTTACGCGAGATCGGCAATGTTGAGGAGGAGCCTTATTGCTCCATGAAGTTGAAGAAGAAGGTAACACCCACACAGAAGCACATGTGTGACGAGATCAAGCGTCGTTGCATTGTGGATGGTCATCTTGAACCAAAGTGTGGCCACTGGGACAAGAAAAAGTGTCATAGCTGGTTGCAGAAGAACCCACTAACCAATGCAAGTGACAGGGCCTTTGTTGTTGCCGCCGAAAAGATGTTGCACGACCTTGTGACAAAGGCGGCAAATGAAAAGGCAAAGGAGAAGAAAGACAAGGGACCTGCTCCGTGGAACACTGCCGAACCATACATCCGTCTGATTGAGTGCATGCTGGACGATACCATCCGTCCAATCTTCCTGGAGATGCACAGGATGGGAGAAAGGGATGAGTTAGATGCAAGGAATTCCGCTGATAGGCCTGAGACCATCTTCGAGGCTTGTGCAAGACTTTTTAATGACAAGAACAAGAAAGTATTCTCACGTTGCTTACCTGATTTGCATTTCACCTTTGCTGAAGCCTTGGATTGTTCCTTCGAACATATGCCAGGCCCTGTCACAGCTGATGAAGTGAAGCGCCGCTGGGGTGACAGCCGTGCCAAGTTGATCAAGATCATCGCCAAGTGGGAGCTCAGTGGCAACGGATTCGGTCAGCGTGGTGTTGAGGAAGATGAATTTGGTCACTTGGGAGATGACCAGCTCCAGTGTGGAGATAACCGTGCTAACTTTTTGGATTCCCAGACCAAGGAACACATCCTGTACTTGTGGCATGTTGCCGATGAAGCACAGATCCTGAAGAACGTCATGAGTGTCATCTCTGATTCTTGTGCCGCAAGTTCCGAAGCTTGTTCCAGTGTGGCTGGATCGGAGGTTGCAGTGACTGCACGCAACAGAAGAGTGGACGAACGTGCCTTGGGTTTCTTCCGCGCAAAGATGGGACTTGCAATGCACACCATGTCGCGTGCTGCCATTTTCAAAGAACTCCGAGAAACTCAGGACAAATTGTTCGAGTCACAGGTAAAGGTCATGGAGACAACAAGCTCTAACATGAGCGAGTTGTACATGGGTCGGGTCCGCATGTTGGAGGCACATGTCAAGGCCGTTCAAGAGTGTCTTGATTCCCTCGATGGTGAGGAAGCTGAAAAGAAGGACCGCCGTGAACGCCGTGCCAACAAGAGAAGAAAGACCAATTCCTCTGCCGCTGCTGCTGCCTTGGATTCTGATGACTCGGACTCGGATGATGATGATGAGGATGGTGATGAAGTGGCTTCCCGTGGATCTAAGGGCTATTGAGAAGCGCCATGGTGAGAGGATGGAAACAAGGAATGTGGTGGTGGTTGTGGAGGAAGTTTTGACTGATTGAGTAACAGCCAGCTTCGAGTGCTGTTTTCGTACTCGGAACTGACTGACTCGACTGTGGAGTGATGGAATGTTCTGGATTGTGTTGAAAGAAGCGATAGTTTGAAACGGTGAAGACAGCTACTGTACTTAAGTTCTATAGACGAAAGTAGATTTCTGTCACCTTCCAACTTCTTGTTTGCAAATTCATCGGCCCTCTCGCTGAATCGTTTGCCAACTCTCTATTTTTTTTCGGCGAGTCGTTGGGGACAGTTCTTGCGAGAGCCAGGTCAATGCTCTATTCAGGAATAGATGTCGTTGTTTCATGTGTGTGCTAATGTTTATCCTATATCCTTTAAGCTTTATAAAAGCGAGCAGGTGTCTTGCCGACCCAATTCTTTGGTGTGGTCCGCTTCAGACCAAGCCGTTGAATCAAGGAGTGCATCGTTTCACGAGGGAGTTCGACATCTTCATTTCGCCTGCTGGTTCGACTCCAGTAGGATATGTCATCAAAATGATGGCCTCCACCAATCAGTGCTTCCGGTCGGTACTCCTCTCCGGCACCAGAGTACATGCCACCCTCACCCACAACGATGTTCATCTCATCGCTTGCAAGACGCTCAGCCATGTCCGATGTAAGTTCCTCACCTGGCGAATCTACTGGCGAAAATGTTGTATGTGCACGCTTTCTCGCCAATCTCTCATTAATGCAAAAATTATGCAGGCGGCACAAACAGCGAACGATGGCAGTGACTTTGGCGATAGTGATTGTTGTTGGAAATGGGCGCATCAAGATTCCCCAGCGACGGGTCAGCATGCCGAAGGCACACTCAATCGTAATGCGAACATTGGAATGGAAGTAGTTGTAAGCATCTTTGGATCCATCACCTACTGCCTTGTACGGAGTTGCCATTGTTGGTGTGTTAACATATGCATTGTCCCCAAACAGACAGATCCCTTCCTTCATGAAACCATCGCATTCAATCTTGTGGTAGATGGGTGATGATGTCCACGCCAAATAATCCGAAGTTGATCCTGGATGCTTCACGTAGATATCAAGGAACCTCCGGTGAGCGTCGCAGGTGGCCTGCATGTTGAGACCATACTTCTTTTTTCTGCCACAAAAGAATTTCTTGGGACCACACTCTGCATTCTTACAGCTCTCTTCGCTTGGTCTTTCTGTCCAGATGAGAATCCCATCCGCGGTTCCTCCTGCGACAATACCATTGTGCATTGATTAATCTAGGGATCTAAGAGATGTAAAGTTTGTATTTCCAAATAAGTGAGCAGTTATTGATTATTTCTAGAATAAGCCTGCTAATTGTAAAGCTTGTAAAGCTGAATTAAGCTGTATCCCGTCGCACTCCTCAAGCTGAAGGAAGCTGGAGCAAGAACGATAGGGAGAGAGTCCCCAGCAAAGTGCTGAGGTAAATTACCATCCAATGAGGAAGCTTTCGAATGACAGCAAACTGTGGAGCCGGAAGACCCTTAGTGAAATGTCGGCCCGTTGTTCCAGAGTCGGAATATACTTGCACGATCCCTTGACTCCCCGATATTGGACCTGAAGAAGTGGTACTTCAATGCCAAATACTTGTTGCGCGCAGACATTTGGGAACATTCACAAAAGATAAGCAACCTTGGTTGTCTTCGAACACTGTAGAGCGCAAAAGACTGTCAGTAATTACGGAATGATTCAGTTTGATACCAATTTCTTGAGCAGGCTCGCATAGAAAGCAGCTCCCTCATTGACATTCTGAAGGCAAATACTCAGCAGCAGTGGAGCCAAAAGTAATATCAGTCTGTATCTTGCTGGACCAGATAATAGGGCACCCAAACAGAGTCAGGAAAAATCCAGTGCGAGACTTGACAGACACAGGATCCTGTTCATCCTCATATCCATAAATCGGGCGAAGTCAGCATCGACCCAACAGTCAAGTCCCTGATCAAGTTTAGGCTAAAACAAATGCCTTTTTCACTTGTGCCAATCAAATACGAATGAAACGTTTGATTGCTTGAGCATGGGAATGCTGGATTGTGACTGAATCGTGCTACCTGGTGCACACTAAATGTGATGTCTGGGCGAGTGTTCGACGCAATATAAAGAAGCATCCAACTGCAGCTGGATAGACAACTCTTCTTCAAATGGGGCCCCCAGTTGTCAGCTCCGAAGAGGATCGGTTGGGCAGGAGAAAGCTTCTTGGCTAGCGTCAGTCATACCAGTATATTCGATGACTTTATTGATGAGCCCTTTTTGAGTAACTCAACATTGTCTACCGTATACTCAAAATAGCCTGAGCGAATCCAAAGATGTAACATTTTTCTCCATGGTAGTCATATCAAGTTTCTGGTGCTGCCACATAGGACTAATAGATCGTTGTCTGGATGAGCCAAATTTGTCATCACAATAATTTAATACCATGAGTTGATGCTCCTTATTAATAAACAAACATGGGTCTGCTGCCGAGGTTTCGTAACCAAGTTGGATCATCCGCGACATAGATGCTCAAAAAATAATTTAGGTGAATCGTTCTGCCCAAGAAGGACTTGTCAAGTTTCAAAACCACAGTCCTGTCCTTCAATATCTTTGGGTCGTTAGTACTGAGGCAATTCCATGTACATGGCTGGTCGAGGTTTCTAGACACTGTCTCGATTCCATCCATGTGCAGTGGAAGAAGAAGACCGCTCTAACGTGGGCCAACCAACAATGGAGAATTCGGGCCTTCATAGGACTGAAGGCTCCTCTGCAGCACCATCTAGATTTGAACTTTTAATTGTCCGTCTGGTAAACTCTTAATTCGTTGCACCCCTGTTCCAGTAACCGCCTTAGTTGAGGGCATAGAAAACGCTGTACGATGTGCCATGTCCCTTTGCCTTCAAGGCTGGCATTTCTTGTCAATTCTGCACCCAGAAAAATCTGCATGTGGTCTCTTCAGTAATTCCTTCAGAGGGGTGGAGATCAGGGTCTTTGGAATTTGGCCTTGAGAGCCAGTGGCTTTGAAGAATGCCAGAGATGAAATGATTCCTGGGTTTTGGTCAAAGGTGAATAACCATTCACCTGAGATTGCATCATGTGCCCAGAAATGGAGTAACTCAAAGGTCAAAGCTAAAGCACAACTTACAGGGATGAAGGACGCGCATATGTCTTAATTTGGGTCCTGTTCAGAGTCTCAGGCTTCTTGCTGTGGGCTGTTTACTGGGATTACGACGAGGGGCAGAGATTGGCTCGTGTGGACATCAGTGGTGGGAGTGATGATGGTGGAGGCTCCCTGTCCCAAGAAGAGGGTAAATTTGAGTCTGAAGTGGTGGCAGACGATCTGAATCTCCCTGTGTGAAACCTGGGGCTGTGCTGGAGACGGAGCTTGAAAATGAAGATCATCACCTTTATCTTTGCTTTGTCATCCTGCCATAATTTTCTCCCATGTCGAAGCTTCTGAAGATGAGATCGGGCTGGTTGATGGCCTTTTCCTCTGGAGTAAGCCACTCGTCTGCTAAGGGAGGTGAGTGTCCTCATCAAAGGGTCTCGAAGCGTTGGAAGATGCACATTTGGTCACTCTAGAGGTGGTTGATCTTCTGAAGATAAACTGTCTCAAACCAATCATCATAGACAAGATGGTACTGAGGGGAAAGGTATCCGGTTGTAAGGTTGCGGATCAAGCCAATATTTTCTGAATGGACAGGTGAGGTGCCAACATATTGTCCTCTCTTCTGGACCTGGGCTGCCATTTTGGAATCTTTCCTCCTTCACTGTGTAAGCCGGGGTTCCAAAACATATGCAGGGCATCCCCTTGGATGGGCATTTCTGATGCATTGACCATCACTGACAGTTCTGGAAAATACTTCAATGGGAGTAATGCAGTAACTGGAATTCGGAGTGTGGTTGTAAAGGTGAGCTGCATGAAGACTGCCAAGGGCCACAGGATTATCATCACTTCCGGCCATAGAAGTGGGCATGGATTCTCATTGTTTAGCTTTGGTACTACAATCTAATGGCTCCCTCAGAAACCCCATTTTGCCATTTGGCCCGGTCGAGAATATTTAATTGATTGATGGTGGTCCTAAGATGTTGGAACATATTGCTTGTGCTTTTGTAGATGCATTTGTCTGTGTGATAATGAATTGAACCACAACCCATGTTCGAGACACCATCGCTCGTATGCTTCCTTGGGCCATGATAGAATAAGAAGCATTTAATGTAATTTGGTGGTGGGCAAAGATGACAGCCGATAGCAGATCACAAAATAATGAGGTTCCACAAATTTATTGCTATCTTGTTCCCCTTCCGGCAGTGTGAAACAATCTCCCTCTGACTCTGTGACTCTCAATGATCACTAAAGGTTGTCATACCCGGCTCCAATTGTTCTTTCTTGAGGGCTTCCTGTTTGTCTGGGAGCTTCTTGGTGACAGTGGTGTGATCTGGTTGCCTGACTTGTTTTCCATATTGAAAGCGCACATTTAGGATGCTCCCGACCTTGCTTCTAAGAAAACCGAGACCCTTCTTGTCTAAGAAACCACCAACCCAAAGAGATTGGAATGGAGAAGGACAGATGTCCAAACTTGTAATGCCATTGCAGCCAGATTTTGTCAAAAATG